GTTCAGAGAAGCAGCTGATAGGTGAATTAGGATTAGCCATCATACTGATCAAGAACAAGGGCTACCTTCCTGACTAATGGCAAACAGAATTGTAAGTCTGACTGATGTTTCTCACTAGCATCATCAAATTCAAGGTAAGCATTTACTGCATCACTTATGCATCTTTTGTTTCAACAAGCACAGGAAAAGGATTTTCTGTGACTGCTTTACAATGTTCATGCTTTACTGTTGTTGATATGGCAACTCGAAAGTAACAAAGATAGATAGCATGCTTAATATAATAAAGTACATTTTTTAAATAAAGAAAAGAATAAGGAGTTTTCTTTGGACCACTAACTTTATCATATGTCTAATATACTGTATACTAAAGTAACAGAGGGGATGCTTCTTTTAAGAATTTTTAATAGGATGCTTTAAATGCTTCATTTCCTAAACAACTGAGGAAACAATTAAGGAGTTACTATAGCAAATGCCTAGCACAGCAGGTTGTCCACCACAGAGAAGTACATAAAACTGGTACCTGTTCAATTTGCAAAAATTCATGTGTTCTAATGCTGAATGAGGGCTTTCTTAGTCCTCTACCACTGGTGCTGGATCTCTGTGAAGAGAGCTTCTTCCCTAGGATACACTTTCACTTAGAAATCTAGCCAGTGGAGATAGACTTGTTTATGTTTAAACAAAACACAATTAAAATGAAAATTAAAATTCACAATCTAAGAAATATAATTCACTGGGATTATAAGAATATTAGTCTAAAGAAAACTGGCTGAAGTCTAGTCAATAACAAAAGAAGCAAGCCCTAATCAAAGCAGTAAACACATCTGGAAGTTTTATGGGCTCTGTAGAAGAAATTATCTGCTAATTTTGGAATGGAGTATTTGAAGGTAAGCTTAGATGTTAATTAAAAACACACAGCCCAGTAATTTCTGACAAAATCACTGCCTTTTTATGAATCATTACTAAGTAAAATTAGTGCCTGATCTAAGGCTTTATTTGCCTATATTAAAAAGTAGGGAGAAGCACTAAACAAAAGTTGAGACTAAACAATGATTCTCTCTGTCATCCTTCTTTTAAGAAACTGGTACTCATCCCTGAATTTTCTTCAGCACAAAGCAAAAGCAACACAAAAAAGAAAACTGTTTCAGAAAGACTTTCTGCATCAGATCATGATGAGCTATATTGTTTTAGAATGGAAGCTGGAAGCATAGTTGTGATAAAATTTTTATGTTTTATTTAATTGAAAAATTAATGGTGAGGGAATAAAACAGGCACTTTCTTGATGCTTATATTCAAAAGAAGAAAGAAATTTGATAATTAAATGATTCAAACAATAGCCCTGAAAAGTATCCTAAGAGGTCAACTTGTTTACTTCTCTTTTTTGTTTGTCCTTAACATGTAAGGAATATGAATCCAGGAAGGTTAAATAGTTTGGAAAAAAATACAAAGCCCATGAGAGGCAGAGGTTGGAGGGCACCCAGGTTTCCTGATACCTAGTTTACTATTATTTCATATTATATCATTTTAACATAGAAGTAAACATATATTAATGAAGGCCATAATGCAAAGGGATGTAATGAGTTATTTCACTGCAAACACACACACACACACACATACATACACACAAATAGTGGGACAGCATGGACAATTTCATCTAAGAGCACAAGCCTGTCATTGTCTCCTTGTCCTGACCAAAGGTATCTCCACCAAGTAGTGTCTTCTGATAGGCCCAGGTATTTTTTATATCACCAGTTGGTTTTCTCCCCCTGCTTCCCATTAAGGAAAACTGGTCATTTGTTTCACAGTCAGACTTGCTGAAAAAGCAACACTGTCATCATCATCTACCTTAAATGGTTCTTGCAGGAAATATGGCTGTGGCAAATTTTCAGCTGGTGTCAGGGGGAATTCATAATTTGGCTGGGAAGCCAAAGAGAGATACATACAAGAGAAATCAATCTTACCAGGTAGGTGCCCAATACACAGTTCACTCTAAATGCTACAGAGCTTGTGTGGAAATACCTCAGCCCTAAGAGGTAGGCATTATACTTATCACACAGGAAAAAAGTCAGTGTCAGAGAAGCTAATTTGCATGTAGGTGGCAAAGCTCAGATTCAAAATGCAGGTCAATGGGCCCCAAAGTAATTACCTTTGGGCCACACCCTTTCACTGGTATAAGCCAGCTTGGCTGGCTTCCTCTGAGGCAGCTAGGACTTTGAGTCAGGAGTAACAGAGCCTTTGTCCAACTCCTATCCAAACACACAACAGGACATGGGGTCCTTGGTTCCTACTGATGCCACAATATATCTACTTATGGGGCATGAGCACTTTAGATTTCTCTGTGGCATTGGCAAGCCATTTACCTCCTGAGAAAAAGTAGATTATTGACTTAGTCATGTCCTATATGTTCATCTTACATCCCAGTTGACAAGGAAGCATTTCTGTTTGATGAATTTTTACTTCACTTAGAGTCAGACAGCATACTCTCTGCATCTTGGGCAGAACAAGCCTTCAATAAATGCCTGATTGCTAATACTGACACATGCTCATGGAAGAAGACACAATAAGGTCTATGTAAAAAATATAATCATTACCCACCTGTCTATAACATGTAGCTCCAACAGAATATTCTACATCTGGTATTTTTTGGTTGGTATTTCTTGATAGGGAGAAATTAAGAAGCTATCTGTATTGCAAACAGAATGTTATTTGCCTGCACAGTATTATACTTTTCACAGATTTATACTAAGTTCAGGCATGAGAAAATGTTTTAAAGCTATTATCATAATGTTTTGACTATGAATGATTAATAATCTGAAAAGAACAAGCTGTTATCTTGTTTATAGGTTTGAAATTAGTCAACCGTGTAATGAGATGGCTAAAGAAGCTCATGAATATTAAATTGTCTTAATAGATATAGAATGTCCAGTACAAAATTATAAATCTTTGTTTTAGACAAAATACATTAAGGAGAATGTAGAATATAGGGCATATTGTTCAGGGTAGAGGAGGGTGGAACCCCTTAGTCGGTGAAGAACAGCTCCAAGTATACACAAAAAAAAATTTCAGGAAAAAGGAGCATAATATTTGCTTTCAAGTACAGTACTCAAAGGGAAGAGAGATTAGATTCATTGTGTTCAGCTCTCGCAACTGAAGTATAGGCAAATAAATGGAAGAAAATGTTGATTCAGTACAAGACAGAAATGAATCCCTTCTAAAATAGACTGGCCAGCAAAAAGTGAGATTCCCAACATATTATTTCCAAGTCTTGGGGCCACATGTGGCCTTCTGGATCCTTGAGTGAGGTCTTTTGACTAAATCCAAATTTTACAGAACAATTTTTTTTAATAAATGGATTTGTTCTGTGAAGTTTAGATTCAGGCAAGGAGCCATACTTGGGGATCTGTAGGGACACATGTGGCCTTGAGGCTGTAGGTTCCCCACCCCAAAGGTTATCATCCTAAGCAATCATTTTATTGGGCATGCTATTTAAATTATATCTGTTCCAGGTTTAAAAAAAAAATCACTTACCAAAGAGACATCCTGTACTATCTTATTTACACAATTGACTGAGGGATAACTCTGGTCTTAACTAAACTTTGGTTCTTATCAATTCCAGACTCAAAAGGTGATCAGGTGATTTGAATGCTCACATTATTTGAATCATTACCAGAAATTATAGGGTTCCTTTTAAAGAAGAAAAGGCATTGGCTTGTATGGACACATGTGAGCACACTAAGAAATAGAAATTATTTTCATTATTAATATTTAAAAAAATTGTCCTTTAAAAACAAACCAAGTCCCCATATTTGTGTAACTAACTGGTGGAATAACCAAACAAGCTTAATCTTCAAGTTAGCAGATTAAAAAAACATAATCCATGTTTTTTTTCTAGGCTAAACAATTTGCTGTCCCATATTCTCACTGTATTCCTCATGTTTATCTGTACATTAACAATGCTTATCAACTGATAGCCAAAATGGCCCACCAAGTTGAATCAACTTCAAGATTTGTTTCCACACTGGGGTGCTTCATGCACTTGGCAGAAACAGGCTGCAACTGTGGCTCCATTTATTCCATTATGCTATAAACATTATGTCCTGAGCTAACAAGATACTCAGTATGACAATCCCATAGGTTACCAAGCACTGTAAACATCTTGTTAACACAGGCGCCAGAGACAGCATAGAGAAGACCTCTAGTATCCATTTTAAAGTGGTTTATGATTTGGACTCTGCTGTTTAAAAACATGAATAATCAAAAACACAGCCCCAAACTCTGGCTAGAACAAATATTTGTGAGACAAAGTTATGCTCAGTTTAAAAAAAAAAAAAAACATGGACTCATGTCATCACGTTGTCATTGCATTTATGGATTTTTATTTCACACCTTTGCCCATTAAGTGTTGGCTTCCCATGGCATTCAGGAAACCAAAACTATAATTTCACTGTGATATATTTACTCCACACACCTAAAAAGCTGAATGTTGACTCACCAATTTTCCTTAGACTAATGTGAAACAAAAAATTTACAAGGGTGGAAGGAGAGGAGAGATGGGACAAACTTTTTAAGCTACAAATGCTGTTTTCAAAGAGTGTCTGGTCTAAAACATATCCTTCCAGCACTATCCAAAGGTCCATCCGAAGAGAAACTGTAAATAACTAGAGATCCCTTGAAATCTAATCTGGGAACAATGAGTTTTGCTTTTCTCAAAAGGAAACAGAATTCTCAGTCACAGAGTAAATGGAACCAACAACCCTGTCTGCTATATCATTTTATTTTGTTTGGATCCAGCATTTTAGTTTCTGGAAATATTTCAATAGTTGTCACCTCCAACTTACAGGGGCATCCCAGAAAAAGGGACATCTAGGGTGATCCAGGTGGAAACAAGCCTGAAACACCAGTTTCCAAGGCTGCCACAACATCCCATGTTTGTGAGAAAAGTGTCTTCTCAGGCACACACGCCAGGGAGTCTAAAGGTAAACACCCCTGAGACCAGCCAGCCCCTAAACTGCAGTGGACAGCAGCACCCTGGAAATCTCAAATTCACAGCTCCAACACGCCAGTTCCGAGATTCGGTACCCGCACATGTACACATCTCCGAAAGACCCCTCAAACGCACGCCCGTGCAGTTCTCCTGAGAGCTCTAGAAACCTCCACTTCCAGCCCTCAGGTTCTAAAAGATAACGGGTTTAGTTATTTTAAAGCCCACAGTACATAATCCTGTGCAGGAACTTCTGTATCTGCCCAACCCTCTGGCCTCCGGTTACTCTTTCTCTGTCCCTTCCAAGGTCTCCTGGCGGCATAAACAGGCGGGCGGCACCTCTATGGCCTCTTCCTCCCCCCCTGCACACCCTACTGGCTCAGGCGCTGACACGCCTCCCCAGGCGCACACCCGCGCGCGCACACACAGCGCACACGTACACGCATCCACCACACGCAGCCCGCGCCAGGCCACGAACCCCAGCAGCGCGTCCCGGCAGCCGTTCCCCTTGGGCTCTATGTAAGGCACTCGCCCCAAATAGGCTTCCCCAGGCACCCGCAAGGGGAGGACCCTGCCCGGACCCTCTGCGCTGCCAGCGCCCCCTGCCCAGACGTGTGGCTACCCTACTCACCTGCAGCCCTCACGCTTCAGGCAGTTCTGTCAAAACTTTTGAGCCTGGTTGATTTCATAACTCCGAGTGTGTCTGAGGCTGGATGGGGTCGGCTTGCCACAAAGTTCACCTACTCTGGTTCATAGGGACCGGTGGTTGTGACACTACTGACCCCAGATCCGCTGGTGCCGATGCGCAGCTACAGCCCGAACAAACACGCAAAAGGCCGCGCTTTGGGGAGGAGAGCGCGGAGCCGACGCGCTCAGCCGGACCTCCCCGTCTCTCCCAGACACTCCGCCTGGGACCTCTCCCGGCTCAGCAGCGGCAGCCTCCGCGGTTCCTGCCCCAGCCCGGCTGATGATGTCAAACAGAATCAGACTAGCAAAACTTTTTACGACTTTAACAAAATTGTCATCGCAGGAAACCCCTCCACGCACCGCACGCAGGGGCTGGCGCAGGCGCCGGCGTGGGCGTGGGATGTTTCGCCCCCAACTCCCTGCCGCCCCCACCAACTTCCAGCCGCGCGCGCGCTCGCGTACACACACACACACTCACACACACACTCTCTCTCACGTCCACGGTGCAGATCGGGTTACAACAACCCACCAACAGAAAGCAACTTCTTCGCTAGGAGGAGGGGAGCACAGCCAACCCCCAAGTCACCCGGAAAAAATTATCCGTGTAAATACATAAGACAGCTCCCCCTCCCCCCATGTTCAAAAACAACTGGCGTCCCAGGGTCCACTCTCGGGTCCCCTGGCCCAACAGGGGGAAAGAAAGAGCCCGATTCCCGAAGCCAGCTCCAGTACCTCCGAGACTCGCCTCCGGAGAGAGAACGCGGGTTCGCGTCCGTGCTGCGGCCGATGGCGCGGGGCCTTCGGCCAGCGTGGCCCCAGCCCGGGGTCCCCGCCGCCGCCCGGGCTCAGCAGCAGCGACCGCCGCCACCTCCGCCGTAGCAGCCGCCGCTGCCGCCACCGCCGCGGCTCCCCAGACCGCCTCCTCTTCCCATGGCTGCGCCCTGCTTGGCAGCTCGCGGGCTGTCAGGCTTGGGGAGGAGGGAAGGGGCGGGGTGAAACGGGAAGGGAGGATGGGAGGGGAGGGGTGGGAAAGGCAGCCGCTGTTCACCAGGGGTCACGCCGGGCCTGGCCCGCAGCCCCCCAGAGCCGGGCTGCCGGAGGGAGGAGAAGCGGGAGTTCTGGGAGGCCAGTTCGATACCCGCTGCGGGGAGGCCAGACGCCGCCGGGACCACGCATTCCGAGGAGCTGGGATGAAGCTTTCCTGGTGAGGAGTTGGAGTTGGTGCGTGTCACTCTCATCTGGGCTGAGCGGCTCCTCCTAGAGGAAAATATTGGTATTTGCAGGACACTTACTTCCTCTCCCACCCGCTCCTGTTTCCAAAAAGAAGGCAGGACCTAGAAGCCTGTAAGTGCGCTCAACAAATTCAAGGGGACACTCACAGAAAAGTTAGCTATCTGCAGAAATGGGAAGAAGACTCAGCAAGATAACTTGGAAAGCGTGTTTAGCCAACCAAATATCACCTCTCTACCAGCAACCAATTTCCAAATTCCTACTCACTAGAGCACGGTAAAAATATAGTTAAAACTCTCCTTCTGGACCTTATTGCAGAGGTTAGAAAACAGACACAGAGAGGTAAGTAATTTACTAACGGCACACAGCAGACTAGCAGAAAGGTAAGTATAGAAGCCAGAGGACAGGGCTGCAGGGAGAGCAGCCTCGTGTGGGAGCAAGGGAAAGGGTTTTAACTGCCTTGCACTGGACACAGTTCACCCGTCAAATATGAGTCCTGCCCTCCTCATTCCACTCTTGAGAAAATAAAATGAGACAAGTTGTGCTACAGTGCTGCAGTAAGTTAAAGTTGGGCATAAGTATATCATTTTTGTAACTCATCAAACTTCCAGTCACCACCGGTTTTTCTAAGCAATGAGTACACAAAAGTCCAGCTCCAGGCTGTCTCAGATCTGAAGAAGCAGCCATTCATGGGGATATTTCCCCTGTTTACTTTCCGCTGTCAGGCAGTTGTAATATCACTTATGTACAAGATTTTAACAGCTTCAGTTTACTAAGACGTTTTTCTTACAGAGCTAGTAGACACAAAGCCAAGTTTACATCCAGAGAGAAATGTTAAAACAACAACCTTAAGGAATCAAGCTTCTAGCGTTAGAGTAAAAGATCCACAGAGCATTGAACTAGTATGGGGAGGCCAAGATTTGGGAAGAAACACAGGACCAAAGACTTTGGGCAGTAGATACCACGTTAGACACCCCTATGTTCAAAGGCATCAAATAAGTGGAAAACACTTTTCTTTAGAATGCTTTCAGAGGCACAGCTGTGTCTCAACACCCTAACTGTTCCAAGCAAAGATACCTAGAATGAATGAAGAAGGAAAGATTCTGGAAGGGGTATGTTTTATCACATTGCCACCCTGGAGTAGGGGGTGGGATGGTAACGCATCTTGAATTGGTCCTGTTCTATCCAACCTAAGTATAAGGAGGCATTCTTTCCATAAGACTTTTCCCCAACCCATTGATCTCAAGGATTCCCACTTTGTGGGTGCAGTAGGCGTGCTTACTGGTGTCTGAAGCTTTTAAAAGGGGAGATACCCACATTGAGAAACTTGGGAAAGTAAAAGATTAGGGCACAGTCAGGCAAAACTCCTGCTGGGCAGGCTGCACATGCCAAGCTGGCTGAAAGGGCAGTCCTGGCGGGAGTGGAGACCAGGCAGGCCTCAGATGCTGACTCCAGTCCTGTCTGAGGTGACCTTCCAAGTTGGCTGCTCAGATTCTGGCACCACCACCCTCTCTCTTTATATCCTTTCTGTGCCTTCTCATCTTTACCCTTTCTCCTGAGCCCAGAAAATCTTGATCTAGAAGGTGCCAGATGGACTTTTAAAAGATTTTCTAAGTTCAATTGTTTATGTTCTGAGATGATTTCAGGACCATGCTTAAAAAAGAAGAACTGACTTCTTTTTTCTCTGAGTTTAGCTTCCACTCTGTGAGGTGTGAAAGTAGACTACTCTGGCAGCTGGCTGCTCCACCTTGATGGAAAGGTCATAATGCAGAGAAATCACAGGAAGAGACACACTGGTTACTGTTATGGAACTAGATACAAGCTTGCAACTTACATGCATAGCGGCCTTTATTTTTAAACCCCATTAATAAAGGTCCCTCAATCTCATATATGACTACATATATTAGTAGTATATGCCTCTTTATATTTTCCAAATTGTGGGGAAAAATGTGTCAGGTATTGATCTGACTAATCTGTTACAAGTTAAGGTATGTCAGAGCAACTTTACCTTGTGAAGGGTGACACTGTGTTATTCATGACTTCCCCTCTGCCTGGAATATTCTATTTTTCCCCCCAGAGAAATCATCCTTAATCTTCAAGTTCCAGTCAATCCTTTACTTCCTCTCTGAAGCTTTTCCTGACTCTTCCCAAGAGTGGAATTAATTAATTAATTTCCTTATGTACTTTTACAGGCCTGTATGTTTTCTTTTATTAAATATTGTAGTTTTTGTTGATATATCTGCTTTTACTCTTAACTATGAGATTCGGAGGTAAGAATTATATATTCTTGATATTTGTATCTGCAATGTCTAGGCCAGTGCCCAGCAAAAATGGTAGGCTGCTGAATGAATGTTTAATCAAATTGAATGAAAATTTATATCTCCCAAATTTGTATCTCTTCATAGAACTCCAGACTGAGAGTCTCCACTTGGATGTCTAACAGACCTCTGAAACCCAACATACCTATATCTAAAGTCTGGCTTTTTCTCCCCAAACATGCACTAATCACTGTTGATGACACCTCCATCTCAGTAGATGACAACTACTTAGTTACTCAGGCCACCGACCTTTGAAGTCACCCTTGCCTCTTCTCTGTCACATACGACATTCAAAATCTGTCCACTTCTTGCAGGGGTCAAGAAATACCTGGTCTGAACCCCCATGATTTCTCAATTGGATCACTGCAATAGTCTTTCAACTCACTTGGTCTCCTTTTTCAACGACGCCCCCCCACCTCCCAGCCCCCGACACCAACAACACAATGTCTAGTCTAAATGCAGTTGCCATAGGGACTTTTTTCTAAACTAAGTGATATCATGACATTCCTCTGCTCAGAATTCCCCAATATAAATCAGAGTAAAATTCAGAATGGCCCATGAGACCCTACTTGAGTTGTGTACCTCTGTTCTCCCAACTTGTCTCCCACAACTCTGTCACTTGGTCACCCATTCTGCTCTAGGCACACTGGCCTCCTTGCTGTTTCTTGAATAAGCCAGACAGACTCTTAACTTGGAGCCTTTATACTTTCTCTTCCCTCTGTGTTAGATACTCTTCTCCAGATAACCATTTGCTTCCTTCCCTACTTCCTTGAAGTATTTGCTCAGATATTATCTTGTCAGTGAGTCCTATACTGACCAACCTATTTTAGCTTATTATAGCCCCCCCTTCCCTACTCTTTTACACATCCCCACTAGAGCTTGGCTAAAAATACAAACTGCATTTTAAAACAATTAGAACATAATTCAGATTATATATCCAAGTGCAGATATCTAGGTCAGATTGTTAGCCCCCAAAGCATGTGATACCACAGTATAAACTCCCTAAATCTACAGTTAACTGAGATTACGCATTGCTTTGGTCACTCTGTTGTACTATAAAGTGTCAAAGCTTTTTCTCAAAACAAAACAAAAGAGACCAAAACACCTAAAGCAGCATTTGTAGCTGGTTCATTTTATAGCATTTGCAGTCGAAGAACATAAGATTGTTACTCAGGCCTTGAGGCCCTGTGTGGGTCATCTGGGACATTCACTAAGTGAGTTATTAATCTCATGATCACTCAATCTCTTCATCTATAGAGTGATAGGGTTGCTACCTGAGATCATTCCAACTGTAAAATAAATCATTAGATTGATATTTGTGATGGTTAATTTTATGTGTCAAATTTGCTGGGCTACAGCACCCAGATATTTGGTCAAACATTATTCTAGATGTTTTTGTGAAGGTATTTTTAAGATGAGATTAGCATTTAAATCAGTAGACTTTGAGTGAAGCAGATTACCCTCCATAATGTGGGGGGCTTCATCCAATCAGTTAAAGGCCTTAATGGAAAAAGAATGACCTCTCCCAAAGAAGGAATCCTGTCAGCAGACAGCACAGCCTTTAGATTCACACTGCAGCATCAACTCTTGCCTGTGTCTGCAGCCAGCCTACTGCAAATTTTGGACTTTCTAGTTTTCACAATTGCATGAGCAAATTTCTCCAAATAAGTCTCTGTATGTGTGTATGTTGATATCTCCTCCATATGATATATATATGTATATTAATATATCTCCCTGATTAATATAATATTTGTGGGTAAAATTAATAAGATTCTAAAAATAAAACACTTCCCTTAAAGGATTTTTGAAAACCCAACACTGAATTCCCATACACCATGTTCTTTCATTTATACAGAAAATGTTGGAGAGCCTACACTGTGATAGACTTTGTTCTAAGAACTCTGGATGCATCAGGGAACAAAACAAAACAATATACCCACAAAGAGGCTGCCCTCATGGGGTTTGCATTCTAGTTGGCAGAGACAATGAACAAGAAACATAATAAACAAGTAAATCGCCGAAGAAGTGCTGATTAAAGAAAACTATAGCAGGATAAGGGGCTCAGAAACGTCAGGTAGCAGGTATGAGAATACTGGGAATTCCTGTCTTGCCTGGGACTTGGCATATCATGGAACTGAGCATGTGATGGCTGTGAACATGCTGGAAGAGCTACGTGACCAGGACAGTCTTTCCACCCTAGTCCCCCAGCTCTAGCCAACAACTGCCTTGCTTGAGGATGGCAAGGGAATCATGAATGGAAGAAAACAACTTAGGGGGGAGTATTCACCCTTTTCCTGCTATATTGAAAGGTGACAGGGGAAACACTATTTTATCATCAGGTAATTCTTAGCCAAAACTCATGAGGAGGTCCTAGAGCCAAACTCAAGTTTCAAATCACCATTTATTTTATGAATTTCAAGCCATAAGTATTTTAATCCAGAGCTCATAAAAACTGAAAGGAATACATAAAACTGATTTCCTTGACTGTCTTTGGTGGATCCAGAGCTACCCACAGGAAAGTTCTAGGCCTAGGAGATGCCAGACTATGAATAGCCACCTGTGGAAAGGAAAAATATGATAGGTCTCAAAGAGACTCATGAATGAACATTCTCTTTTAAATTATTTAAGTGTAGAGATTAAAAAAGACATTTTTGCAATTATTTTCTCTATTCTCTCACCAAATACAAAAGTCTATTTAAAAAATAAAAACCACCTCATAGGCAATCATCTGGCTTCTGTCTGAGTAATTATACTGAGGAATAACCACTAATTCCTTCACTGGGGAGCTTGCTCCATTTTGTGACTGCATTATTTGTTGAAAGTACATTAGCTAGAATCTGCTATTCTATTATTCATACCTGGTTTTTATCTCTAACATTAATAAGGAAAAATTAGAAATAAATTTATTTCTTTCATGAAACACACTTTCACATGTCACACAGCCAGTTACCTCTTCTGCAAGTCAAATACAAGCAGGTCTTTCCACTATTTCTCATTGATGTGGTTTGAAGACACTACGTCATCCTTGGCCCCACCTTAGTGTATGCTCCAGTTTATCCAACTCCTTCATAAGTTCCTGTTTCCAGTATCAAATTCAGTTTCATTATGATCATCACAAGACAGAGGAGGACCATGAGCTTCCAGCTGGGTGCCATGGAGAAATGGAAATGACGGAAGCCCTGGAGTCTGGTAGACGTGGTGGAATTACCAGTTGCAAACAACCTGCAGTCCTCACTCACTCCACACTCGAAGGAAGTGAATTCAGGAACCTCACAGTGATAAAGGGATCTCTATCCCTTCTTTCCTTTTTTATTTCCATCCTTTTCTACTTCTTGTCTTCACATACAATATTATCTTATTGTTTACCTCTATCCTCTTTACATTTTTTTCTGCTATTATGGCTTTTGACTTAATTTTTTTTTTTTTTAATTTCAGTATATTACAGGAGTACAAATGCTTTGGTCACATAAATTGCCTTTGCATCACCTGAGTCAAAGTTACAAGCATGCCCATCCCCCAGAGAGCATGCACTGTACCCATTTAGGTATGGATTTAGCCATCCCTCTCCCACTTTCCCACCTGTGTGATACCCAATGAATATTACTTCCATATGTGCACATAAGTGTTGGTCAATTAGTACCAATTTAATGGTGAGTACATGTGGTGTTTGTTTTTCTATTCTTATGATACTTCACTTGGAAGAATGGGCTCCAGTTCCATCCAGGATTATACAAAAGGCATTAGTTCCCCATTTTTTTTGGCTGAGTAGTACTCCATTATATACATATACCACATTTTATTAATCCTCTCATGTATTGATGGACACTTGGGTTGTTTCCACATCTCTGCAATTATGAATTGTGTTGCTATAAACATTCCAGTGAAGATATCTTTTTTTATAGATTGTCTTTTTTTTTCTTTTGGGTAAATACCCAAAAGTAGTGGGAGTGCTGGATCAAATGGTAGATCTACCGTTAGTTCTTCGAAGTATCTCCATATTCCTTTCCACAGAGGTTGTACTAGTTTGTAGTCCCACCAGCAGTATATGAGTGTTCCTATCTCTTCACATCCACACCAACATTTATTGTTTTGGGACTTTTTGATAAAAGCCACCCTCACTGGAGGTAAGTGATATCGCTTTGTGGTTTTGATTTGCATTTCCCTGAAGTTGTTTTTAAAGATTTTCATTTTAATTAAAGATATCTTTTCTAATTCATTCTTGTTTGCTGTTTTCCTGAATTCCTATTCTGTCCTGCAAATCCCTGTTTGTCTAATCATTGGCCCCAATACTTGGATTAGTATGTATTATATTAGCATTAATTTAAACATTTTTAAATTTATATACACACAAAATGGCAAATTACTGCATATGTGAAGAATGTGATAAATATATTTGAAAAAAATTTAAAAAAAAGAAATGGTTTAAAAAGGTGAAAATATAAAAGTAAAAGATATAAATGAGAAAGGACACCTAACAACATGAAATCATAATATCTTTAATAAAAGAATTAGAGAGTGAAGT